GAGATAGATCGATTAGGATACTTAAAATCCAAATAAAATATTTAGAGCTTGTGAAAATTTAGAAACTAAAAAATAGGTTTATCTTTATGAAAATGGAAAAATAACTAGAAAATGCCAAAATGATTGCGATCAATGAATAAACTTGTTTAAGAAACTTTGTATGGCACAAATCTATATCTCTTATAATTCTAAATCCTACTATAATATTATCTTGACATGCAATGTGTCCACCTCAGCAGTCCACTATCACTTGTAATTAAAGTCTACTGGCACAAGCAATTATGATATCCACGTTAGCGAGACACATCATCCACTAACATACATTCGGTTGTCCACATCGGTGGGCCACGCTATCCACTAACATTAGTTTATAATAGTTAATCTCTTCCCAAGAATTATGTGAATAGTTAAATTTCAGTCCAAATCAGTAGTTCCCGCAACAACGCGCGAGGTGTTACTTTGAAGCATCTAAAGTTATTTCATGAGCTATAAATATTTCATTTGGATTTTCATATCTCAATATATCTCCAGATTTTTTGTTGGGTTTTCTAAAAGCGTAGAGACATTTTGTGTAGTTTGAAAACCTTATCAAGTACTTACTGATTTTTTTTAACTAAAACAATGAATAAAAAGCCATCAAAACTGCTCAAAACTAGATCAGGGAGGTAATTTGAACGATTTTAATAGATCAGAAGGTACGATGTTTGGCTTTTGAATTTAATAAGGACAAAAAGATATTGTGGCAATAGTTCAAAGAAGTATAATGGATTTTTTCCAAGGTGGGGTTAAAGCGCGACCTGTCGCGCTGCTGGGGAAGCGCGCGACCCTACAGCCACATGATGTGGACCCACTCCCACTCCCTCAAACCAAACCCCCCCCTGACATTGCATGCATGCATGCCGACGGAAGAAAAAATAAAACATTTTATTTAAATACCTATAACTTTTGAATGATATATCCGTTTTAAATTTCGCTTGCAACGGTATATTCTATGTGATGAGGCGAACAAAACTAGAGCCCACTTGTCTATGTTTCGAAGAATTTTATTTTAGTAGTAATTTATGTGCAAAAATGTGCTAGGAGATTTATGAAAAAAGTTGCTACCATGTAATACAAAACTTGTTACTCCAAAAATATACTAAAGTTTTTACATGGTATACACATTAAATGTTACCATGGGAGTATAATAAATTTATTATATAGTATTTACATAAAGGTACTAAAACCCCTAAAGAAAATAGCGGACCAAAACAAGACAAGCTGCAACGTGGAGTGACAAATTATTACATAAACATTGCATAAGCTGTCAATTAGGGGGCATGTTATTATACAACACATTACAAAAAAACCAGAAAACATGGCTTACTGCCAACTAGAGGCATTTATTAAAAGATGAGGGTAGCAGCACAAAACAAGACAACCTGCAACCTTGGGCAAATTATTAGAACAAGCATTGCATAAGCTCCCAACTAGAGGGGCAAGTTATTACATAACTCACTATATGAGCTGGGAAACATGACTATATGACAATTGTAGGGACATTTATTAAAAAGTCAAAAATAGCGACCCAAAATAAGACAAACTGTACCCTTGAAAGCTCTAGTTTGGTTTTGGTGAATTGATGAAACCCTAAGGGCTAACCCTTTGCTCTAAGTGATCATGAGATAGGACAGCACATTCCAAGTGGTGGAGCAAATGATGATGATCGTGATGATGGTGATGGCCATAGAGATGATCAAGTGCTCGGGCTTAGAAAAGAAGAAAGAGAAAAATAAAATGAGCTCAAGGCAAAGGTATATGTGATAGGGCCGTTTTGTTTTGGTGATCAAGACACTTAGTGGGTGTGATCATAACATTTAGGATAGATAGCCGTATTATTAAGATGTGTGAAACTCATATCGAAATACGGTTATCAAAGTGCCACTAGATATTTCTAACATATTGCATATGCATTTAGATTCTAGTGAGTCTAACACCCTTGAAAATATGCTAACACACATGCACAAGGTGATATACTTGGTGGTTAGCACATTTGAGCAAGGGTGAAGTGTTTGCGCTTGATTGGAGTGAAAACAGGGGCGTCGGACCCTAGTTTTCTAGGGCGTCGGACCAGGCTAACCCTGGGTCTGACGGTCCTCCTACGCGCGCTAACAGAGATCGAGAGTGAGGTCTGACTGATTTAACCCTCTCTGGACCTTACTGGACCGTGTCGGACCTACCTTGTGTGGAGTCCAACGACCGGGTTCGATGCTTTGGTCAGCGCGTGGCAGGCGACCATTGGCGGCAATGGTCGATTTCGTTTGACTGGGACACGTGGCGCTGCGACAGTGGTGCCTAGAGCGTCGGACCGAACCCTGCCTGGGTCTGATTGTCCTAAGGGGCCAGGTCGGATGGTACGTTTATGTGAGTAACGGTTGGGTGGCTTGAGTGGCGCCTACATAAACTTGTTGGCCGGCCTTGGCTCACTCTCTCGGCCGTTTTCATTGACATAACAACCTAGTGAGCTAAGCAAAAGCCCTCCCACTCATCTCCATCATTGATTCATCATCTTTGTGAGATTAGGAGTGAATCCGAGTGTATTGCTTGAGTGATTGCATCTAGAGGCACTTGGTGATTGTACTTCGCTATGGATTTTGCTTGTTTCTCTTGGTGGTTGCCGCCACCTAGATGGCTTGGTGCAGCGAGGGTCGTTGAGCGGAGGGTAGTGATTGTCTCTGGCTCCGATCGTGGTGATTGTGAGGAGTTCTTGACCTTTCCCCAGCGAAGAGCCAAAAGGTACTCTAGTGGATTGCTCGTGGCTCGTGGATCCTCATTTTGTGTTGGTTGTGCGGCACCCGATTGCGGGTTATGCGTGTGATGCCTATAAGTGTGTGAACCTCCAAGTGAGTGAACCACCACAACGGGGACTAGCTTGCCGGCAAGCAAGTGAACCTCGGTGAAAAATTATTGTGTCATCTTGTCTCCGAGGATTTTTTGGTATTCATTGATATATTGTGATTGATCACTTGCCACGGCGGTATAACCCTCCTACCTCTCTTGTGCATTTACTTTCTTAGTGTAGCTAAGCCCTTTAGTGTAAGTAGTTTTGAGAGCTAGCTTGTGTCTTGTCTAGTGGTTAGTGAGGCTCTTTAGTTAGTCTTTGAGAGCTAACTAACTTAGTGGTAGTGACTTAGCCTCTTGTGTGATATAGAGATCATAGATAACTAGAATTATGGATAAGAGGCTTGCATTTTGAGTATGCTAGCATAACACTCGCTTCGCCGTTTAATTGTCTAACATCTTGGCTTAAGTGTTGTTGTAGATATTTTCAATAGGCTATTCACCCCCTCTAGCCATTAGGACCTTGCAACCCTACGGGGCAAATTATTAGAAGAAGCATTGCATAAGGTGGCAACTTAGAGGGTAAGTTATTATACAACTAATATGTAGGATTTAAGAAGAGAAAATTTCTTATTTGGCCCTGGTTTAAAGTTGTTTTTCTTCCTTGGCCCTGAAACAAAATTTCTTATCTATTTGGCCTCACTCGAAGTTTCGCTTTCCAATCTGGCCTTACCGTCATCTCCCACCTCTAACACCGTTAAGTGGCACATGAAAAGACCAAACTGCCCCTGAGACATTATGAGAAACCAAAGGTCACCCAGACAGCATAACAACATAATTTTGAGCAATTTGAATCCAATTTTCATAACACAAATTTTTATGTTATACCTATGTTATGAAAATTGGATTCAAAGTGCTCAAAATTATGTTGTTATGCTGTCTGGGTGACCTTTGGTTTCTCATAATGTCTCAGGGGCAGTTTGGTCATTTCATGTGTCACTTAACGGTGTTAGAGGTGGGAGATGACGGTAAGGCCAGATTGGAAAGCGAAACTTCGAGTGAGGCCAAATAGATAAGAAATTTTGTTTCAGGGCCGAGGAAGAAAGACAACTTTAAACAAGGGCCAAATAAGAAATTGCCCCATTTAAGAATGCATTCGAACCTAAAAGAGAGACTGAAAACTAAAACTAAAAAAACATTAAAAAAAACTTGACTGAAAACTAAACCAAAAAAAACTTGACAGAAAACTGAAAATAAAAAAACTCATTAAACATAAACTAAAAGAAACAATAAAAAGAACTGAAATGAAAAAAAAATGAGAATAAAAGCTACACAAAAATTGAAAAATGAAACTCAAAGTGGGCTACAAGCCCTGCTGTAACAACCCGTGAATTTAAATGTAATGAAAAATCCAACTTTTTAAAATTTTTCTTAAAATATTGCTTGTTGTTGTGTTGCATGCAATATTAGGTCAAGCTTAAGTCAACTGTTTCCTCTTCTAACCCTGATTTCGAATGAAAACCTAATCCTTCTTACCTTATTCAAAATAAATTTACAATAACCAGTACACCATGTAGCATAGATGCATGAGTGATTTGGTTCTTGTCTTGTGTGTGTGCTTGGAGGTAGTCCCTTCTCCTAAATCCTTGTGTAGAAAATAGAAAAACCTCTCACTCTCCCTGGGCCACAACCCTCCTCCCTTTTTTACCCTAAGCCCAGCACGCCTCCTGGTCCTATCTGGCCCGTCGACATCCTTGGCCCAACTGGCCTCTCCTTTCCCTTTCACCAGTCGGCCCACTCAGCCTAGCCCGCGACGGCTCCCCACTACTGGCCCAGGCCACCAAGTGGCCTCGCGCGTAGCCAGTTCCCCTCCCATGCCTCTCACGTGCGTAGCGCGTGCACGAAGGAGCCGCCGTAGCGCCGTCCACTCCATTCGCTGCAGCAGAAGCCACCGCCAGCTTGGGCCCAGCGTCAGCCACCCAGAGCCGCTCCCTTCCGTTTCCCTCCGTCTCACGCCCGATGCCGCTACGTAGCTTTCCGTCGCGGTGCCGTCATCTCCTTCCTCCGCACGCGCTCTTCTGTTTTCCGTCACGAATGCCAGCCGGAAGCCACGACGCGCCGAGCTCCATGACGTGAGCACGGGACCACCTAAAGCCGCGCCCTACGCCGCGATTCGCGGGATGCCCTCGACCCACAGCGCCCGAACCCTACCTGCCCTTGACCGCGCGGACACGCCCGCGACCAGCTCCCCGTCTCGAACATTCCGAGCCGTGCCACCTGCCCGTGCTGCGGATGCTCGCCACATCGCACCGGAACGACCATCAGATGGCACGTACGCCGGCACCGTCACCTGCCTTCGCCTCGCCATGGCGCGGAGCCGCGGACGCCGCGGCCACGACCCGGCATCCGAAGCCACCGGTGAGTCTCCACCGCCGCCCAAGCTTCCTCCTTTGGCCTTAATTCCCTGGACAGTACCCCACGCCGGCTCAAGCTTTCTCCTTGCGTGCAGGAACAACCTCAAGGGGCGCCCTTGTTCTTGGAGCAGAGAGCCGGTGCACGGGATCGACACCGCCAAGTCGCGCACGACGCCAACCCTCCGCGCGGCCATGACCACCAGCTGCCTGACCGTTTTCCCGGTCCCGGCCGCAACCCCGGTGAGTTCTCACCCGCCAAAGATGTCTCCTTTTGCCTTCCTCACCGTTGTTCTTCACCTTGCCCGCCTTTTCATCGCCCAGCGCCTTTCACCTCGAGCCGATTGACGACCCCGACCGGGACGCGGATTTTCCATTTGTACATGTGGCCGCGCGGGATATCGTGGCCGTGGAAGTGTTCCAGGCATTAAGATTCGTGCTCGGTTATGTGCCAACGGACCAAAGCATTGGAATTAGGAGGGAAGGGCAGAATAGGAAATCTACATGCCGTCCATCACTGAGCGCGGTAAGGGGAAAAGTTGAAGTGCCTGTTCCCGGCCATTCCTAGCTTATACAGAAGGAGAGCATGGCGACGTGAGGAAGGTGGAGGTGCCAGGAACATTTGGAGCTCGCCGATTCCGATAACAAGGGACAGTTCCCACTCGACCAAGTGCAGATTGCTGCAGAGCGAAGCAAGAATCGAGAGGTGGAGAAGATGTCCGCTGAAATCGAAGACGATGGGGACGTACTGTTCCACAAACAGGCCCCAACGCCTGCGGCACTTCCGTTCCAAGTGCCTGCAGCTGGGAAGGCTGCCGCAGGGAAGAAGGTAGAGGGGCAGATCTGCTACGCCGACGGAGCGAAACCAATGCTGGAGGCCACGCCCCTTTCAATGGCGGAGCAAACAGTACAGATCGGTGGAGGATGCAGGCCTACAGAGCAGTATTTCCATAGTTCAGTAAGTGTACATTATATTCCATTATGTTCAAGCAGTTGATTCATATTTTGAAAATGCCATCCTAAACACAGTTGCAGGTATTTCATCTACCTCAAGACAGCGGCAAAGTGGCTCAAGTACAACAGGCATTACCAGAAGGTATGAATTTAAGTACAATGATTGTTACTTGTACATCTATCACCATTCCAAATTCAGATCTGAAAATGCTGTACAGTACTATGAAACTAGGTCTGCCTGCAGAAACCAATGTAGAGTTCCAAGCTACATACCAAATAAAGATCTGCTCATTTGAAGTAACTGTGTACTGAAATACTCATAATAACTTGTCTGAGAAAATATTCAGGTTTATTCCAACATGTAAAGCAAAAATGTTACTGATGCAACTAACTAGTACGAAATGTCTTTACTGAAGGGATTGGACATTATGGAAGTCTGCAAGAGTTATTGCTTGGATTCACCAGTGGTGCATTATGCATAGTCACTGAGGAGGAGGAAAATGTAGTACAAAGGGGATCATCTCTGGAGCAAAGTTGTTTTGAATACGAAACAAAAGATGATGACTTTAATGCAGAACCTGAACTTGAAGCACCAGAGATGTGCTTGCAAGAGGGTTATGTAGAGAGTTAGCACGACAATGAGCATGAAGAGTCAAGTGATGTAGATGAATCTGCAAATAGTGATGGTGATAAAAGAAACAAACAAAATATCTACCCAAATGAGAAGGATTTGGAGAGTGTGGACTGGGACATATTCTGTTCTACTGGTGAACTAATGAAGAAGAAAGATTCTATCATGGCTCTTTGTACTGCTTATGGTAAGATGCTGAAATGGCAAACTGTATAAGTATGTCTCTCCTTTGGATGGCTCTGACCATACTCCTACTGATAGAACCCATTTTTCTCACACATAAGATTTACTGATACATCTATTCTGACACAGAACTTGTTACTTATGCAGGTGATTCCTCAGATCAGCACGAGGGCAACCATTGAAGCTAAAGGAGCTTGACGAAGCACAATTGCAAGGTGACAATGAACCGCTTTGTTTCATGAGGGGATTTCAATCTAAATGCAAGTTGAAGTGATGTTCAGTTTGCCAGAATTTTTTTTCCAGGTTTGTTGAAAGCCACAAATTCATAGTTCGATTTCAAAGAAATAAATCCAGTTTTTTATTTGCAGTGTCTGCCCATGGGAAGAGTTTGGGAATTAGGATGCTGGAATAGGCAAGCAGCTGAAAAGCCAGAAATTGAAGGTACAACTAAGCGCCAATCACAGTAAATTGACTACAAACCTCTTGAAGTTGATAACCTAAAAATATCCAAGAAGAGTTAAAGAACAAATAGAGCTCCTGGATTGGTAAAGGAATCATTTTCAGATTCTGTGCCTGCAGAATTACCTTCATCGCATACAACTTGTGGTGCAGTCTCTTCGGAAACAACAACAGGTAAGTGACTATAGCCTCCAATAGGCAGGGTTGGATTAGCTCCCAGTGTGAGTGCACCTTCATTGCTAGCAGAAAGAACACCTGAATTTCCAACCCTCAGGAGTTGTTGGAAAGGACCAAATAGACCACCATCTGTGAATATGTTAAACAATCAAATTTCCTTTGAGATCCCAAACTAAAATTCGCGCAATAAACAGGACTAACAAGTGGAAGTTTTGAAGATAAAATAAAATACCTTTACTGTGTCTTTCCGAAATATGAGCAACATTGAAATATGACCACAAAGTTGGTATATAGACTGCCCACAGCGTGAGCGATGCTGAAACAGCTTATGAAATAGTTTTTTATTCGTTTCAGCACCGATGCTTTTACATGCCTCGATGCCTGAGTTTTCTGGCTCTAGCACCGCCCCTGCAATGTGTTGCATCGATGCTGAATTCTTCTCTCTCTTCGTTTTAACATTCTCTCTCCTTGTTTCAGCATCGATATTTGATACACTGTGGGCAGTCTAAGACAGAAAAAGCAACACAAGAATGGATGTGATGATTTCCATGCGATATAAATAAAACTGTAATTATGTTAACACGCATAGCATCGAGCTAAAATGCTATATAAGCAAATATAAGGTTCATAGGTGCATATAAACTATTATATGATGTTTGAGTTCAAGTACACTACTCAAATAATGACTGCTGTATAGTTCTGCTGACATCTACAGTGCTGCTTTTTAAAAGAAACATGGAATGCATATGATTGACCCGAGAACTATCGAGTACAGTATAGAAAAAAGAAAGAAAATTGCTGGCGAGCACATTAGTGAGGAACAAACCAAACCTAGCTGACAAAAGAGAGGGTATCTTAGCTGAAGAAAATAGAGTTGTAGGGAGAACCGTCGTGAATCCCCATGAAGGCGAAGTCTCAATAAGTGGTTCAGTCTCGACGTCTGGATATGGCTGAGAGCTTTCTCTTTCCATAGTGACGACGGTTAACAGCACAGAACTCGATATATTGAGTTTGAATAGCAGTGAAAAAGCCAATTTTATAAAGAAACCAATCCAGGCAATGTTGAGATAGTAATGACTATAAGCGAACTTGTGATATTGAGCTTGGACTTAATGACAGACCATCTTTGAGTTCCTTGATGCTGAAAAAAGGAACGTAATCTATTAGTACTATTCTCTAGTAAAGAAATCCCAAAACAAGCTTAATAGATTTATTATAAAAAATAATATGTTTGATCTGTGAAAAGATAAAGTCAACTGGGACTCAAGTACTCAATTAGCACCACACATTAAAACTGTTACAAATGTACATATATGCAATAAATAATTCAGTGTAGTATCACACTCAATAAATAATTCCACGGTACTCCCTAAGCACCCATTAGAGAAATTTATGGCACTTCTATCTGCTTTCTGCTATCACACTCAATAAAGTACAAACTAATCACTGAACTATTGAGATAGCTGGGGGATTGATGCACCTTCTATTTGCCATTATGGCAGGCGATTCCTCAGATCAGCAATAGGGCAACCATCGAAGGTAAAGGAACTTGACGAAGCACAATTGCAAGGTGAGAATGAACCACCTTGTTTCGTGAGGGGATTTCAATCTTAAGGCAAGTTGAAGTGATGTTCAGTTTGCCAGAATTTTTTTATAGTTTTTGTTGAAAGCCACAATTTCATAGTTTGATTTGAAAGAAATAAATCCAGTTTTGTGCAGTGTCTGCCCAAGGGAAGGGTTTGGGAATTGGGATGCTGGAATAGGCAAGCAGCTGAAAAGCCAAAAATTGACGGTACAATTAAGCGCCAATCACAGTGAGTTGGCTACAAACCTCTTGAAGTTGATAACATAAAAATATCCAAGAAGAGTTAAAGAACAAATAGAACCTCTGGATTGGTTAGGAATCTACAGGTGTATGTATGCTGCTTTGCAAGTGCCTATATAATTGTCTTTGAACTCTGTTTGCTTACATGCACACTGACCACAGTCTTACTGACATAGTGGCGATAAACGAGTTATTTACAATACATGATTTTTAACAAAACAAAAGTTCTTTACAGCTGTAACCATGGTGCCTAAATGAACAAAAAAATTGACATACCGGGAAGATGCAGTAAGAGAACCATCATATGGCAGCCATTGCAAACCCAGTTACCAAGTAATGAGGTGCCTTTAGGCTGGTTCATTTTTACTGGCACCTGATAGGACTTGAGCTGATTCAGAAAAAAAAAAATGTAGCATCACACTACAGAAAATCATGTAACAACACAGAACAGAAGGGGTACTGTTATGGAATCTCCAACAGTTGCCAAATGGTTCAAACAATGTTGCAGGTGATGGGTGGCCACAGAACTCTCCATACACCCTGCTATACAATCTCTTGTCCCATAGACCATCTCAACAGCATGAGTACTATTCTACGCAGTACGAAGAGTACTACTCCACACAGTACGAAGAGCGTGGCTAAAAGTGCAAGCCTATCAGATTTCAAATATTGCCCTAGCACTAGCAGTACTATTCCACAGATATTCAGAGTTGCAGACAAGTTCTAATGTAGCAGCAAGGAACATATTCTGCAGTTCATACAAATGAAAATGTGCATAGATATGGAACATAATACAAGTCACAAACGACTGTGAGCTAAACTTCAGTGCCAGCCTCTTGTGTTGCCTACTAAATCTCCAAAATCAAGTGTAAGAGATTCTTTTTACTAAAAACCAAGGGTAGAAGCGCAGAGCCGGAGTGACCTTAGTACAATGGACTAAAGATGCTCTTTGGGCCCGTTTGCCACAAATGTATGGCCCATGACCCAACCTTTATTTGGAAACCGAAGGGTCATCACCTGCGTGGCTATATGTGCACCGACCCGTGCCCTGCCTTGTTCGGTTCCCCATCGCTCGGCAGCTACCCATCTTCCCCATCCTGGTAACGAGCACAGTAAACCCCACTACAGAAAACCCCACCTCCGAGTGCTGGAACTTTTTCAAATGTTGCCAAGGTACTGTTTGTGAAAAAATAGGCCAGAATTACTAGTTCTTTCACATGCCTTAATCTTGCAGACATCATTAATAGCACTATAATGCTGTATTATTTTTATGATCCTGTAACTCTGGTGCATTTCTCTTGCATTTTATACTCACAGATGTTCCTCAGGCGAAGCAAAAGGATTTCAGCAAAAGTTCATGGATTCAATGACAGTGGAAGCAAAGCTGCAGGTACAGAGCCAGAGCCACTCGCAATCGTGCCAGTTTCAAGCTCCATCCCAGATGAAGAATTCAGTCCTGGAGTTGCGGATGACAATGTGCAAACCTAAAGCTGATTCTGGTTGAATGCTCCACAAACAAAGCAAGCTCTAAGACTTAAGAGTGACTCTGCAGCCCGTAGTGTGCTACTGCATCTTTTGTTTAAGTTTGCTCTAGTGTAGTATTATGTGAAACTCCTGTTTAAGTGAGTTCTAAGGTCCAGTTAGTGTAATGGAAGCCTAAACTGTTTTAATAAAGTGTTGCAATCTGCCGCAATCTGCATTGAGATGTTATTTTGGTTCAGATATTATGTTTGTGCCGTGGTTTCTGTTGTGGTTACAATAAGTCTGCTCTTAGTTTGCATCATGGACTGTTGTGTGAGTCACTACATGTCAAAATACTAGGCAGTCCCCATCACATAACAAGAGAGCATATAATAGTATACACAAGTTGACACAAGCCATAATAATAGGTTCTTCTAATTTGATAATTAAACAATAGCATAGTACAGACAAAGACTAAGTCCCAGAAACATCCAGTACATAATGGTAGATGTAGGTAACCTCAATTGATGAAGTTGAGGTTCTCGGGAGTTTGTAGAAATGTTTTCATACTTCTCTTCAGCTAGAGAATATGACATAACTGTTGTGACTTGTCCAGAGATAACATACTCCCAGCAACATAAGAACACACAAGCCAGGTAGACCACAGGAATAATATATAGTGGATACGACACACTTGCCATAGTTCCAGCAACATACACGCAAAAGCAGACTTGGGAAGGCTTCAGAACTTGAAATGGTGAATTTTGTCCATTAGTTTATTTGGCTTGTACCCTTGGTTGTCAACACAGGCAAACATGTGATACTCAATTTCCCCACGGGCCTCGCACAGAGTAGCCTATAGATAAAGACATGATATTCTGTTACAAGAAGTCTAAATTCACAAAAAAATTGATATGCTGACGAAACAAGAAGTACCTCATGAGGCTCCTTCAGATTGAATGTAAGTTTTGCACCACAGAAGGATCTCGCATAGTAAACAACATACAAGCCACTATTTTGTCTGCAGAAAAACTGACCGATAAATATAGTGCTCGCAGAAGACAATAGATGCACAATTTTGCAGAGGAAACAATTGTGCAAATGTAGAAAGTCTTACGGTTTGCATTTATGACCAAGATTAGTTAGATAGACATCAGCCCAGCAATCGTCTTTAACATCCCATCCACAAAAGAAATGATCTTTGCAAACAAACAAAGCGCTGTGAAGTTTGTGAAGTTTGAATACAGTATCGTGATGCTTCTGCTTGGCTTCTGCAACAGAGGACTTCATCAGGACCAGGTCCAAGACGCTGATGGTCTTGGATTTGAAATCCCAAAAGTAGCAGCTCCATGTTTCTTCATTCCCAAAAATTGGTAGGATGATCTACACACAAATGAAGTTGATCAAAGATTGAATTTCAAAATAGAACAGAATATTATAAAAATGCAACTCATTGCTACTAACATAAGAGAATACCTTTTGACAATCTTCCACATTAGGCCCTGTTCGGCTTACCCCATATTTGGCTTGTTCGGCTTCTTTTTTCAGCCGGAACAGTGTTTTTCTCTCACAACAATTCAGCCGGAACAGTGTTTTTCAGCCAGTTTCAGCCAAGTTTCAGACCAGCGAACGGTTGTACACTATGAAACTTGCCCTTATTGCATCCGAATTCAAATAGTCAACATTATCATGAACTATTTCCTGGATTGTAAAGTAGAGATTTAGCTAGAGTAAGTATACTATTATAAGATAACTGGAGTTGTTTAAGTTAAAAAATACGTACTGCAAATGAGGCAGGAAGGAAGTGCTTCCATATCTTGTGTGTCTGTTCATACCTCTGAAAATGGTTGTACACTTTTGCATCCAGATAATTCCAAAGCACCATAATAGCGTCAACTATACTAACAGTAATAGTGCCATTTAGTTTAAGGCAATGCTGAACAACATGGCCAGGTATAGGTAATGATTTTGGGGCAGTAAAAACGATCCAATCACTGCAAAGGTAAGATGGATCAGACTCACATTGATACTGATTAAACAGGGAAACAACTCTCAAAGTATCATACCAGTTCAGCTCATCCCTAGGGAGACATGGATTTGTCATCCACTGATAACATAGATACTTGTTGGTCCATGACACATCTGGATGATCGAACATTAGATCAAAGGTCGACATTGGAAAGTTTGAATGGCTTGTTACAGTCTTCCTTTGGGAATAAGGTACTTGGGAATTGGAGCTAGAACATTGTTCATCAGCAACTTGTCTTGAAATGGTCATCTGGAATAAAGCTGCTTGTAGATTCCTGCTAGAGCTTGGTACGTGCTGAACTTCTCTTTGCAGTCAAATGAATACATAGTAATCAGTATAAATTGCTACGTTGGCAGAGGAGAAAAATTGACATGTACATTAATACCTAAAAAAACTTGGTTGGCTGATACTTGAGGAGCAATTGGAGGTCCCAGACTGTTAGCTGTACGTAACACGGTTCTTTTGCGCAGTGGGATACCTGAAACTATATTGCATAGAAACAATCACATTCAAAGCATCAACTCAGAAAACGAAAATTTAAAACAACATTGTATCATTAAAAGTACAACCTCATCACCGCGAATAGACAGTCCCCCAAACATCCCCCAAAATTATTACAACAACACGTACGTATTTCTGATGTTGCCGAAGAAGCTGGTAATGCTCACAAGTTGAAACCCCTTTCTTTGAACAACTCCCGAAAATTACTATATAGAAGAGTATTTGGTCATGAAAACAAAGACAACAAAGAAGATATAGAAAAATGCCCAGACGAGGAGCTAACGGAAGTATCTGACAGAATACTAAAGAAATGTGCTGGTGTGCCCTTAGCTATTATTACAATAGCTAGTATGCTCTCTAGTAAAGCAAGAAATAAAATGGAGTGGTATGAGGCGTGCAACTCCATTAGTACCGGTCTTGAAAACAGTTTAGATGTGGAGAATATGAGAAAGATCTTGTCCTTTAGCTATTATGATCTACCATCCCATTTGAGGACTTGCTTACTATATTTATGTGTGTTTCCAGAAGATTATAAAATTGAAAACGATCGTTTGATATGGATGTGGATAGCTGAAGGCTTTATCCAATGTGACAAACAAGGAAGGTGCTTATTTGAACTTGGAGAGAGTTACTTTGATGAGCTTATACAAAGAAGTATGATCCAACCCATATATGATGTGTATGCTGATATGATATATGAATGTTGGGTACATGATATGGTGCTCAATCTTATTTGTCACTTGTCCAGTGAAGAAAACTTTGTAACTATATTAAATCATATGGATCATGGATCTCCATCGCATTTAATTCGGAGGTTGTCCATTCAAGATGGAAATGAAGAACATGCTGTGACTTCGGCCACTAGGACCTTGCAACAGGTAAGGTCAGTTGTTGTCTTTCCATCTGCGACTAGTCTAGTACCGGTCCTTAGTAGCTTCCGAGTTTTACGTGTACTGGATTTACAAGATTATGATGTTTCACAAGGTTATGACCTCAAGCACCTCGGGAATTTACTTCACTTGAGGTATCTAGGACTAAGAGGAACAAACATTCACCATGTTCCTGAAGAAATTGAAAAGCTACGATTTCTACAAACATTGGATGTGAGGAACAACCCAATCTGTGACCTGCCATCGACAGTTGTTCAGCTCAGACATTTGATGCGCCTGTGCTTCGACGGGTTTGCGAGAGTGCCGAAGGGGATTGGAAACCTAGCAAGCCTTCAACATCTGTTCTATCTATTGATTGAAGATGCCACTGTTTACATTTTAGAAGAGTTGGACCAGCTAACAGAACTGAGGCTACTCCACGTTATTTTCTTCAGTGAATGGAGTGACAAGATCGTGACGTGCCTACACAAGCTGCAAAAGATACAACATCTATGCATCGATGTCTGCATTGCCCAACGGAGCATCGGTGGATTGGATGCCTGGGTCGCCCCTCGACATCTCCGTAGTTTGGATACCAGAAAGAGCTGCTGGTTCTCAGCACTACCAGCTTGGATGAATCCGTCGCTTCTCGCATACCTCTCCTCTGTATCCATCGCTGTGAGGGAGCTACGCAATGCCGATCTTGAAATTCTTGGTAGGTTTCCAGCTCTCCGCAATCTAGATGTGCTGGTGGACCATGAGGATCTTGGAATCCTTCGGGGATTTGTCGTTGGGTCTGGTTCATTCCCATACTTGGTATACTTCGGGTTTGAAGGATTTGTGAGGCCTGTGGTGTTTCAGCAAGGAGCTATGCCGAGGCTCAGAACCTTTCACACCCAATTCTCTGTGCTAGAGGCAAGAAAAATCATGAGCAGCGATGGTGATGTCGACTTGGGCCTGGGGAACCTGCCATCGCTCTAGGAGATCACGCTTTGGTTGGATTCTAAAGGCGCTAGAGAGGAGGAGGTGAAGGGATTGAAGGTTATGCTATGGCATGCCACTAAAATGTACCCCAATCATCCCAGCCTTCAAATAAATGGCCACTCTGAAGATGAAGGTGATGCCTGCTCAAATTGTCCCTTATTACTACTTCTTTACTTTTCCCCTTTCGTGACAATAATTTCTTCTGCTTGTCTCAATTTCAGATGATGAATAATGGACTAGAGAAAAGATGTCTAGCTATACAGATGGAAACTTTGCTGGCTACTCTCTCTCTCTCCACTACTTTTCAAAAACTGGTTTCCCCCTGTTTGCCTCTCTCTCTCTCTCTCTCTAGTTTCACTACTTTTCAAAAACTGGTTTCCCCCTGTTTGCCTAAATAAGGAATCCTCTGTTTCAGTGACAGAGTTGGGCCTCTGTCCCACACATACCTTACAAATGGCGACCTAGAGCGCCTGCACAAAACCAACAAAGCAGGAGCGCCTGAACACATACAGCCGCGTGCGCTGACACACACACACACATTTATTATTGGCATCTGGCCGGTCCCAAGAGAACGTCTCATCAGTAGCCTTGCTAATGGACAATTATTAGGACTGAGCACATGATAAGGAAGTATACAATGAGGC